AAAAAAACGTGGGCTTAACTTTTGGCGGCACAATATGTTAAAAAAATTCGAAAAATGTTATATTTTTCTTCCTATTTAATTATGTATCTTTTCAACAGTTGATTTTAGGCGAAAATGGAAGAGGAAAAAAATGTTTATAATACAATTTGTTACAAAATGTGACTAGTTACAAATCGAATGAATCATGATTATTATTGAAAAATCGAAACAATCGCCAAAAATGGGGTTAAAAACATTACTTTTTGGGGAATTTTTTTGGGGTCTTTAAATTGGGTATAGGACCTTCATACTTGGCTCAAGAAAACTTCATGTTATGTAGAATCATCACACCAAATTTCATCAAAATCGGTGTCATAGATTTTGCATAATAATTTTGCAATCCAAATTTTGAAACAAATTTGTAAATTTTCAAAATTTTGCACGGCAAAACCCCATATTGTGCCGCTAAAAGTTAAGCTCACGTTTTTTTTTCATACGCATAGAAAAATTTTCATTTCTAGTGATATTTGAAAGCCAAAAAGGATGGAGATCGAGCACTGTGGCGGAACGCTACATTGAAGACTTCACTTTTGAATAAAGAAAATATTGCGCAAAGAATACTGAAAATTGATAGTGGTAATGATAGACAAAGCACTGTTGTCATTTCTGATTTCACAACATCTGAAAATGATATAACTGTTAATGAAAACCTGTTGGACTGCTTTGAGAATTGCTCCAAGAATGAGGGTAGTAGCAGTTTCAGTGGTTTATTTAATTTTAATACTTGTTCAAAGTGTGTATTTAATATCTATGTGGATAAACAAAAATTATTGCAAATATTGTTGAATAAACTTTTATAAAATAAAACTTCATTAACACTTTTAATCTAAGGATTAAAAGTGTCAACTTTAGCTATTAGGATTAAAAGAGAATACTTCTGTTGATAAGATACAATTTTTTTTTCTCAGTAAGGAAAATGTCATCCTTAGAGACTTCTGACAGTCACAAAATATTATAGTTTTTATTGACGGTTGGAGAAAACCGACTTTGTTATATTTCTAATAATCGATTTCCAAGGCAATCTTACTAGGAAACCCAAAAACGCTACGAAATAATTCCAATAATTGGACCTAAAATAGCGTTAACTCTCATTTCGCTCAAATGGCCTACTAAGAAAACGTGAAAGATCAAAGTTAGAAAACTCCTTTATATATAGTAAAGTTTTTGATCCGCCATGCATATTTAATGGAAACGTGCAAGTGTGTAGTCTAACTTTTTAAAAGTTATACAAAGAGCGATAAATACCAATAAGGATGAAACGAGCTTTTACAGTACACCACAAAGATTAGTAGGATATTTTCTTAATATTTTACATTCTAAAGTTGCTTAATGCGGAGCCTTCTTAAATGATTATAAGCGCAGTGACCACCGAGTATATGCAACCAACATTGCACGGCTGGTACTGTTAACTAAAAATCTCTAAATCTTAATGTTACCAATATAAAAGATTCGTTTACAATGAACAATGACAAACCGTTGCGTCTGCGCTCGAGATAATGCGATCGTTGATTAGTTGAATAAAATCTCGTAAAACATTATACCAATCACCAGCCGTTGAAACAGAATGTTGTTTTTATTGTTATATGTTATATATTGAATCTTATTTGTCCACTAATCAGTATTCTGATGTTTGCAAAACTAGTAAAAGATTTATTTCTGTTAAACAACATAGATTTATAGTCAAATATTACTAACTTGGCTAATTTCACTCAGCATTTAACGCCCAAAGATTTTCAAAAAGTATTTGACCGCATTGACCAGTCTTATAATACCTGAACTTAAATCAATTGGGTTTTCTGATATCTTAACAGCATTAATTCAATTGAATAATACTTATTAGAACAGCAGTTTATGTAATGTGATGACCATACATATAAAAATTATGTTGCAATCTCTGGCGTTCCTCATGGTTCAAATCTTGACCCACTTTTATTCTTAAATTTTATTAATGATCTTAACTCTTCTTTAAAATCATCTCACTGTTCACGGATGATTCAAAAGTATTCAAATGATTATTTATTAAATTTATTTCAATTATTAGATTCTCCTGAATATAGGAGAGGTTGTGCTGCATTATCTTGTTTATTTAAGTTGAATCGTAATTTCATAGATTGTTCAATTCTTGATTAAATATTACTTTGTATTGTTTTTTACAGTTTATTAAATATTTGTAATATTAATACGAGTATACCACAATGAAATATTAAAATCTATATGTATTTTTATACAGTGTAATTCATTAACAATGGAAGAGTCGAAAGCTGAAAATACTACACGTGAAATGGTGACCATTGGCGCAAACATGCCTTATATTATCCTAAAGTTAATAGTTTCAGAAATTCAGGGTGTTGAAATTTTAAATCGTTTTTTTTGCGATTATTCTAAAAATATGTAGGTTAGGAACTTGAAAATTTGTGAAACTATATTTTTTTAGGCGCGAATAAGATGCGTGTAGTAATTTCAGTATTCGTTTGAAGAGTTGTGGCAAAGAATACAAATCGCTGCCAACGAAGTCAAACGCAATCCCAATATGTAGTTTCAAACTCAAAGATCTCTCAGAAAACGTTGTGTAAAGTGTGTAAATGTCAACGGCGGATTCTTCGAACACTGACTTTAAATCGTTGTTACGAATTTCGTTTGTTTTATTGTTAATTGTTGTAATAACGCGAAGAAACACTTGGTTTGTTTCGCTTTTAATTTCTCGTATTATCAAAACATAGTGTTCGTTAAATCGATTTTTCTCGAAAACGGATCGAGATACCAAAATGAAACAAGAGTACATAATTAATGGAAAAATGATTGCTCTTTCAGGTTTTGAATTATGTTTCTTGTTAGACATACAGGGTAAAAAGTTATTAACTAAATTTTCGGTAAAATTGGTCGTAAGTGGCGCCCTCTATGAGCAATGCTGAAATTACAACGCGCGTCTTATTTGCCGTCTAAAAAAATATAGTTTCACAAATTTTCAAGTTCCTAACCTACATATTTTCAGAATAATCGCAAAAAAACGATTTAAAATTTTGACTTTCAACATCCTGTATTTCCCAAACTATCAACTTTTGGGTAAGGCATGTTTGCGCCAATGGTCAACATTTCACGTGTAGTATCTTCAGCTTTCGATTTTCCAATTGTTAATGAATCACCCTGTATATTATCTTCGTGATTCGAATCCAAGTATTTAATTGTGTATAAATTTGCCTGTGATTGAGTGCAAACCTAATGAAAATAAGTGTAATTATTATTCAGCACCATAAATTGTGCCCCACGGTCCCATTCTGAGCCCCATCTTTAGCGTCATTCATATCGTTAACCTTGAACTTCTTTTAATCGCTAATTTATCAAATAAAATCAACCAAACGCATTTATGGTATGAATAGGTCAAAACGTCTTGGTCGATTTACGACTAATTCGCAAAATTTTGTTCGCAGGCCCACATCATGCGCATGCCCGTCTATCTAGTGTGCGCAGCGGCCCTCGTCGCGGTCAAAGGCGAAGAAGGCACCAACTACTTCGGCAGACAGCTGGAACCGGTGGACGTCGCCGCCGATCAAGAGACCATCAGCTACCTCCTGCCCAAGTTGGCCGCCAAATACCGGCCGAGCAACGACTGGAGCGGCGTTACCGACCCCCGATTCTACGTGCTCACCGAGATGGAGTCCAACGACATCGATAACCAGGTGAGGAAGTGTATGTTAGAAGGGGTATAATACCGACAAATTTTCAGGGATGATTCTTCTAGTTAAAACCAACAAAAAAAATATATTTTCTTTTTTCGTTGAACGATTCCTCTATGATTTTCCAGAAAATCTACAAAAAACACTCAAGAAACATAACAGTTTGAATTAGAAATGTAGCATTCACGTTTATTTTGTAAACAGACATTCATCATCAAATAAATAAAATAACTTAACTAACTAACTAACTAACTAACTAACTAACTAACTAACTAACTAACTAACTAACTAACTTAACTAACTAAATAAAATAACTTTTTTCGAAAATTGACTAACATTAAAATACTGACTTTTTAATTATATTTCTATAATTTTTACCCATATTTTTTTATTTAAAGCGGTAAGCAGAGTATTTTCGATTTTTCGAAATTTTTTTTCGAAAAAATTATTCAATTTTTTTTTCTCATAATTTCAAACGCTTTCTGCAATAAGAATGTCAAAAAAATCAGGAAAAAAATGTTTTTTTCATTTTTTTTACGATGAGCATTTAAAGGCAAAAAAACGTGATCCTTTAATTTTTTAAAAAATTCAATCGTATGAAACAAAAAAACGGCTTGATGGATCGAATTGAAACTCTGTAGGGCTTTCAGAGAATTCATTGAAGTTTCTGAAACCCACCGTCGATTTTCTGTGCAACCATTGGTTTCTGAGATATCGATGAACAAAGAGAAAATGATCCATTTTCATTCAAAGTCCGATAGCTCACCGAGAAATGGTCGTATCGAGACCAAAAAAAAAGAAGTTGAAGCTAAATGAACAACCTATCTAATCCATAAGGTGGTTAAGTTGGAAATTTTTTTTTTTTCAAGTCCGTACGCAAAAAATAAGATCGAAAAAATTTCGAAAAATTTTTTTTCATGATATTCATTACGATTGCGCGATATGTGTTACTTGAAAATTTTTTTTTGCAAGATCCAAAAATTAAAAACTAAGCTTCAAATTGATTTTTTTTTACTCCAATACGACCATTTTTATCAAAGATACAGCCATTTGAAAAATTTTGACCCCTTAATTTTTTTCCATTAGTGTATTATAGAAAAATTTCAATTAAATTAAATAAAATTATGCACCGGTCTTACGGTGACGAACCATTAGAATATTTCAGATACTACTACTTCGATTTGAATTTTAAAATTTTAGGCCCTGGTGTTTTCAAGAGTGCTCTCTTTAAATAAACTATAGTAGGATCGTATTCGATGCAAAGTAGAGCAAAAAGTTATCGGTCTTTTATCAAAGGAAATTCGTGTCATCATTTTTAGGAGGCGTAAGATAAATCATTTCAAATTTAAAATGAAATCCAATGTAAAATCTGAAATACCGCTGCATACGCACTCTGTTCTGGTAGTAGCTGTAGTCGCCCAGGTGCATCGAGTGTACGAACTGGTCGGTTATACGTCAAATACTAACCTGGCGAGCTTTTCCGTCAATTAGAGAGCGCTTCTAAAAAACAAGTAAACAACAGTGGCGCGTACAGAGGTAACATATAGTACATATGTGGAATTTAGGAAACAAATTGGATTTATAATAAATTACATTTAAAATAAATAGTTTATGAGAATAAAGGAATTTTTGTAGGAACAAGGGTGCCAGACCTGAACTGATCCCCTCGTCCCTTCATAATGTATAAAGAAATTATTCAATTTGTAAAACCCTTAAAAGCGTACTTCATTGGTTCCCTTGACAGGCAATGATTTATTACTTTGCATCGAATATGATCCTACTATAATGCCATTGTTGACCCACTTCTGGTTATACCTAAGGTCGCCATCTACATGTTTATTTTAAATGGAACACCCTGTATATTTATGCATATTTGGATTTTACGCGAAATTTTAGGGGGATTTTTATCAAGCTTCCCTATATCTGTCTCTAATGGTCTTCGATATATTTCAATTCTTTAAAAAAAAAGTTGCTTGTCGATAGCCTAATTCAAAATTGCCTACTTTTTATATCATGCAAGCTGGAGTATTGATATTTGGGAGGGAGATAGGAGGATGCCTATGATTTATTACAGTTACTTTAAAAACTGTTTAATTTTACACAAGGCGATGAAAATTTATTGTCGAACTTGCTTAATTTTGAATCGCCAAAACTTGGTTTTTCTAAATGGAGCACCCCGTATATTTAATCAAAAACTGTTGTAAAATTTTATCCTCTATCCCTATTACACTTTTCTATACCAATCTCTCTTAATATTTCTGTTATCGGCGGTTTTTGTGACGAAGTACATAAAGTGATCCAATTTCTTGCGAGGATGGCTGTGAAATTGCTAGCAAACTTAAAAACAAAACAACCAATATTCAATATGTCATAAAATTTCACCGTCATGTGTAAAATTATACAGTTTTTAAAATAACTGTAACAAAGGATAGGCATCCCCCATCTATCTGGCCAACGAAAAGCAACTTTTTTTAAGGGATTGAAATAATATCTCGAAGACCATTAGAGATACATAGATATAGGGAACCTTGATAAAAGTCCCCTTAAAATTACGCGTAGAATCCAAATATGTAAAAATATACAGTGTGTTCCATTTAAAATAAGCAAGTAAATATCGACTTCAGGAATAACAGGAAATACTACAACATTGGCATTATTTTGTTTACAGAGAGCGTCCCCGAAAATCCCAGTGCACAAATTTTCAAATCGAAGTAGTCTCTGAAATATTCTAATGGTCCGTCATCGTAAGACAACCTGTATATGAATAAAAAAAAATAAGTATTTCCAGTTATAGACGAAATACTTTTTTCGTTTTGTCTTAAATTTCCCGTCACGAAAAAATCGGCGTTTTCATCCCTGTTACAGAATATACTATCGCAAGATCTTTAAAGAATCATTGTCCTTGAGAATCGTTTTAAGAAGAAAAATCAACCCTGAAGTTTGTTACGTCATTGTTACACCCTATGCATTTATGTTTGTGTTATAAGCTACTAGGCTACTAGTTCAAAAATCTTTCAGAAGCAAGATTTCTAAATAATTCAACAAATCCCATGGGTTTGCATGAGATTTCTAAGGTGACAAGCTTCCAAAAAAAAAATGTTATTTACACATTTTGTCACGAAAATAGCATAAAAAACTTACAGAATGATTTTATTAGATAACTAAAAAATTGTATTTATGTTTTTTATATATAGATTCAGCAGGCAATGCCCAGTAGCTGGATATGTTTAGTCTATTATTTATAACAAAAAAAAGTAGGAATTAAATAGGACAGAATTTTCCTTTCTAGTGAATGTACAGTTCTTACAATATTTATATACAAGACAGAATTCGAAGGAAAGAATAAGCCAAAAAAGTTCTGTTATCGGAATTACTGTAACGATTTACCGGGGGCGTGCCTTGAAATGTTCTGCGTTATTTTCAGAACATTAAAATAATTATACACGTTAAAGACGATACTTTTCAACTGGGAATTAAATTGTTTTCACCTCCATTGATTTATTTTAACAAAAAATTACACTGAAAATGCACAGGACGATACGCTTACGAAAAAACACACCTTCGTAACAAACAAATCGCACTACGCACTGCAAGCTGCTACGATGAACGCCACGCCGCCAATGTCTTTCTGCCTCGGGTGTCGAATGCGGTTAATTCTACGAAAGTGTCGCAGGGGTCTTCCTGGAATTCTATCTTAACAAAAATATCGCACGGACTGTAACAATATATCACTTGGATACATTTAACGATAAATTAATATTTTGACACCATTGCCTAAGAATTTCAAGTGCATTTTGTAACATGCAACAATCAGTATAGTCCGGTCAAATTAGTTATAAAAATAGTGGTCAAATAACGAAAATTCCGACAGAGCTAAATTTTGGTGGAGATAATTTTACGATCTATAATTTTTGTCTGGGCTACTTTTTTGATAAAACTTACCGTTTTCGAAAAAAATCCAAAAAACCTCAAATTTTGACTTTTGACCCCGAATAATTTTTTTAGCACACATGGGATCGATGGGGACTTATGACACTTTATTTCTAATGGTATACCCAAGGTCTCCACCAAAATTTAGCTCTGTCGGAATTTTCGTTATTTGAAATGTCTATTTTGACCGGGCTATAACGGTTTTTATATAGCACAATAGCCCAATAGCACATAATAATTAATTAACAGAATTAATTCTGTGCCAATAGTTTAGGACCATGTAGTGATCGTTTGAGAAAACCAGCAGGCTCAAAGTAACGTTTTTTTTATTGCTGTTTACTAAAGAGCGTAATTTTAATAGTTTGAAGGATGTAGGTGTTTCTTGTGCAATTTGTTCCTTCTAATACTTCAAACTTGCAACTCTACAAAGCATTATAATAACTTCTATCTAAATGAAACCGCCTCCGCCAAATATACATCAAAAATTAAAACAAATGGAAAGGAAACTTTCCTCCCTTTATCGCTCTTCTGGATAAATTCTCGCAAATCAGTCGTTTTTAACATCAACGCCTTACCTTGCGCTTATAATCGAGCTAGAATTGCCAGCGTGGCAAGTCGTACACTAAAGGAAGGGAAAAAAATCGCCGCCCGTTAGGCGAGAGTAAAAAGAAAGGGCCTTAGCGAGTGTATTTTTCTAAATTTGCAGCATTAAACGCGGCTATATCTCTGAATAGTCTTTTTTTGTTGGGAGGCAGATGAACTATTTCTTTGCGCGACCACCAAATTGCGGCATTACCAGCGGCTATTCTACTGCGAAACGTTTAACAAAGCACAAAATTGGCGAGCTGTAGGACATTTACATGTACGTGTTCTAGTTGGCGTTACGAGGCACCCGTTTTAATTGTTGATGTTTGGACGCCCGTCGACACGGGAATTTTAATAATAGAATGACGTGAGGTAGTTTGAAAACTCTACCAGATACCTGAAAACGTCAAAAAGTTAATAATTTTATTTCCGAATTCAATACTGTTGCACTCTTGGGAAACAAAGGAGTGTTTCAAGAACAACTCGAC